AATTATTTTAATAATTTTCTTTGCCACAAGATAGATAACTATTTCTAGTACATGTACTTATCTCTATGTCGTTAAATAAATCCTAATATATTATTTCATACAAGAGTATTTTATTAACTATTTCCAATACTTGTTCAACTATTTTTCCTCGGGTCTGTAAATATCATAATCTAATTCTTCCATTTCTGATAATTGAGGTTTCCACACGTTTTATTCAAATCTGTAGAAAAAATGAACGTGTCTGCTTAAAAAACATGTTTAAAATAGTTGCTAAATAAAATTATAATTATATTCTCGTACAGAAAGCCCGCTCCGCTCGAATATTCGAGGATTCGCGACATCGTCGCAATAAAGAAATCCCGGGGAACTCGAAATTTCATTAAAGTTCAAAGACCAGAAATTCTTCCAAGCTGTTATCAATAAATATGTTTACATGGATTTCTTCTTCCACGTTTTACAACGATCCTATTTCACGGATTTGAATATCCGCCCGGGAGTATAAGCTCCGTGCTCTGGGATACCTAACTAAATCCTCTACCTTTATGCTTCACATTTCATCATAAAAAGATTCCAAACTCTCTATGGAGGACCATTAAAAGGATCTTAATGCCAGTCTAGCTGCGGGCTCTATTGCCTTATAACTAAGGATTATGATACCGTAGGAATACCTTGGAAATGGCCGTGAAAAAATTCGACAAACATGAGAATCGGAATTTGCATACTTAGTGCGAGCATGAAAGTCAATGTGGATCTCGGTGCGGACAGCCCCTCCCGTTTCTAAGTGAATCAAATAAGACTTAAGCATGTCGAGTGAAGTTACGATTCCTTTTATACTTTGCATAATTCTCCGTGGATTGCCTTATGCTACTTTGTTGTTGCATACGGCAACTCTGTTCACCGTATAGACGAGTTATTGAAGCGTGTGCAACATGAATTTCCTTTTGTTATACTTGTACAACTATATTAACTTCTGTTACTTTAAAATAATCTGTGGACATCAGAGATTTTTTAGCAATTTAGAAAATGCGTATTTCTCACAATCGAATTGCCGAGTTCTTGACGAATAAACCGTTTCATTCTGTAAATTGAATGTTATGCGCAACAATGGCGCTGTTATAAACTCAGTGTTCTTCTTAACAAAATAGCTGTTGAATTAAGTGCTCAACTCTGAACAAAATAGCTGTTGAATTAAGTGCCCAACTCTTAACAAAATAGCTGTTGAATTAAGTGCCCAACTCTTAACAAAATAGCTGTTGAATTAAGTGCCCAACTCTTACAAAATAGCTATTGAATTAAGTGCCGAACTCTTAACAAAATAGCTGTTGAATTAAGTGCCCAACTCTTATCAAAATAGATTATCAAAATGGATCATTTCAAAAACTTTTAAACACAAGTTTTTCTTCACTTGGAATGATTACATTGTGCAGTCTCGAACTCTGTACCTAAAAGTATTCTAATAAATATTCGAAAAAATCCAACTATGCAATTTTCACTGCAAGATTACAGTAGCATGTACATAATACCGAGTTTGAATGCCATTTTTCAAGCAGTGTCTAGGAATTCTGTCCAAAAAGGGGTCCACAACCGGAGCACCGTCAACGATGAAACAGTAGCATATTTCTGAATAATCCAAGAAATAGGGGAGAATAACGTTGATCTTGGGACCCTGCGAACTCGACACGAAGGAACACAAATAATCCTTAACGTAGACCGGCTAGCACACGGGAGCACAGGGGCAAGAATTACATGCGCCGTTTGCGAGGGACACTGTGCGCAGAAAGACGAGCAGCTGAGTGAATGACGTCAAACATGCTCCGGAGATCCCAGTGGATCCGAGGTCGTCCATCCGTCAGGGAATTCGTCGAGAACATCGTCGTCGTGCAACCATCTTTCCATTTACAGAGCGTTAGGATGAATTCGGCACGACTATGTCCCGCTGAGCGCTGTAATAGATCCGATAAACAGAGAGAGAGGAGAGAGAGAGGAGAGGTAGAAAAGAGAGAGAGGAGATAGAAGAGAGAGAGAGAGAGAGAGAGAGAGGAGAGAGAGAAGAGAGAGAGAGAGGGGGGGGGAGAGAGAGGAGAAATAGAAAAGAGAGAGAGAGGAGAGGTAGAAAAGAGAGAGAGGAGATAGAAGAGAGAGAGAGAGAGAGAGAGAGAGGAGAGAGAGAAGAGAGAGAGAGAGGGGGGGAGAGAGAGAGGAGAAATAGAAAAGAGAGAGAGAGGAGAGATAGAAGAGAGAGAGAGGAGAAATAGGAGAGAGAGAGAGAGAGAGAGGAGAGAGTGTGTGTGTGTGTGTAAGAGAGAGAGAAAGAGAGGGCGAGAGAAGGGGGAGGGATTGCGACCGGGTTGCGACGAGAATGCATTCGCACGGCCGAATTAGAACAGCTGAACACGCGTGTCCCGCCGAGAGAAATTGCACGGAACGTCCTGGAGAGCTCGTTTCCACAGGCGCCGGCTAATTCGCGGCAAGTGGCTGGCTAATCTACTGCGCGATTTCCAGAAACGAGTTCGACGCACGGCAGCTTCCGCACGGAAAAGAAATACCCCTCGTTAGAATAATATCCCTCATTATACTTCTGCACGAAAAAAAAAACGGGGGAAAAATCCCGCAAAGCCTGCGAAACGAAATTCTGTTTTATGAAACGACGACGGCGCGCGATGGCAGGATGGAACCGTTCGAGATCTGAAGCGCAACGGGGATGAGTCACTCTCCATTCCTGAGTTCGATATTCTCTTTCGAGTTGAGCGTTTTATCCGGCGGTGCGCATAATTATAGACTCAAAGTAATTTTTACGTTGTTAAAATATACATTTCGTTCAAACTTTTGCAAATTAAATTCACCTTTTTGTTCATCTACAATAACCGTTTATAAAATACCACATTGTAATACAGTTTTTTCATAATAATGTGGGATGAGGGTTCTTGGCAGGGTCGATGCATCACTGATTTTTGGGAACGATCGCTGTTTGTGTTGTTATATTTTCTTGAATTAAACGTTACATTAATATTCCATAAAAACTCTGATTCTACGTATCCTCTTATCTGTCCTTATCTGTCTTTTATTTCGCCTACAGATATTCGAAACATCTTGAAATTTACGAACATATTTTAGTTTCCGCTAAAATTGCAATTCAAATATGCATGACGAGTATACTCGTCATAAATAACTAAACCAGTTAATATTCCACGGAACGTATTACTAAATACGTACTTTATTTAAGTATTAAAAATGCAACAGGGTCGAAACAATATTAGGCGTCTCAACTTTTCAATCCTCGTTTCCATAAAGAAATTCCTTCGATTTTAAAGAACTTGAAAACATATTAAATGTCGATCGAATCGAATACTTCAACGCTTTGCACTCGAGTGGCGACTCTGTGACAACGCTAAAAATTGCCACACTATTTTACAAGAATGTTCACATTATTAGATTTGTCTGTATTCGATAAATTTTCAAATAATAAAGAACGCGTTCAATTTCACGTGTATCAAATGAAAACGACCGTATCAAATGGAAATGGTTGAAACAAATATCTTGATTTTGGAATTAAAATGGTCTCGAGTGCAAACGGTTAAAGATCATCGAACGGCTAAATCTCCAGCCATCTTGCATCTATTATTTCCGGTGCTTCCGGGCTAACGACCCCAGATACGTCTACGACATTCGCGACAGTCCGACAACATTTGAACCGGCTGGAACAACTTCGGTAATACCGTTCCCCTGAATTTGTCAAGAGTATAGACTTACGCGTGTGCCTAACAGGGTTCTCTCGGCAGCGTGAAAAGAGGATGAGAGAAGAGGCTGCAGCGTTGCTCGCGGACGTAAACGATAGGGACAAAAGCGAAGCAGCTGGCTCGATGACGTCACTACCTGTCTTGCAGGCTCTCTGCCGCCACCTCGGGGTATAGGTCAGTCTTGACCGGAATATGCGAGCTTCGAGCAACTATTCCGACACCGGCGAAACTTCGTTTGCAAACGCGCGGTGCACATCGCGCGAACGCGAACGCGATACGCAAGCATCCGCGGGGCGCGGACAAGTTTCTGCCAAGTATTTCTCGCGGGGGCGACGGTCGTGCACGGAAAACGTCTTAATATGTACCTTCCTGCAGAAGCTATTGCTCTCGGGATATGCGAGACGGGAAGACCACTTTCGGTCGCGAATTCGTTAAGTTTAATTGCGATGACCTGCGCTCTCTCCGCGAAAGTCCCGCCTCCGATTGAATAAAACGCTGACGCGGCGGTATCAACTCATTGTGAACCCTGTACACCGGAAACTGATTCGTTGGCTAGACCGTAGGCCGTTCTTGCGAAATAGTAATTGTCTACTCTACATTGACTGCGAGAGGCAGGAACTTCGTAAATGTATTCTTTTCTTTCTTAGTCATTTCAATCAGTTGACTGCACGACTTTTTTTTAAATAAGAATAAATTTATAAAATAAGAAATAAGAATAGATTCATTGCACAGAAATCTTGATTTAGATTTTCATTTGCTTTCTTAATCGTTTGAATTGCGCGCGCGCGCGCGTCGACCCCAATACAATGTTTTCATGTGAAGTAAAAATTGTCCATTGTTCGGTGCTCAGAAAAAGTCAGTCATTTCGGCCGAAGGGCAAGTCCCAAATTAGTCAATAATAAACAAAAATCTCGAATAAAAAAGAATTGACAGAGACAAGGTGGAACGGACGACCGACTCCCCCCCGACTCTTGCCCTCTTTGTCATTTAGTTTATGCGTAGCGTTTCATTTTCACGTTTTCTGATATTATCTCCAGGTAAAATTCCCATACTCGAATAATACATCGCAAGCCTGCGAACATGAGAGTAATTAGTGTATGAACGAAACATAATTATTTTCGTTTATACTTCATAAATATTGAACACATATTTAAGACGTGTATGATGACCGTTTAAAAAATAATATGATATATCATAAATATAAAAAATATGTGTATAGTACAGCACGTTTGCTGTGATGCAATGAAATAATGCAATGAAAAGTTAATCAAGATGCCTATTAGTAATTAGTAATTACAAATGATCATGTGTACATCAGAAGAATCTGAAGATAATGCTTTAGGAGGGATAAGTCGATGCTCTTGCATCTTGCAATTGTTACGTCTGTTTCACTTTGTTTCGATTGTTCTACGCCTCCTGTCTCCTGTCGCGAGTCTCGCTCGTCCGTGATCGCATAAATAATACACACACACAGATACACCCACGGTTAGCTCAGGAGACATAATACGCTTCTGATGTGTTCCTAGCAGAAAATGGCGACTAAGGGGTAGCGAGATGTGATGGGTGTAAGGAGGCGTTGTTTGTTTTTATTTGGCCATACCCGTTTTATGAAAATTTAATATTAATAATTTCGGGCCAATAGAAAAGGATCATTTCTGTCAATAAGGGAAGCGTTTACCCTACTTCTGCGAGGGCGTCAACATAAAACCGGTCCTACAATTTTTGTCGACCGGACAGTAACGGCAAAAAGTAGAAACTCCGTAAACACTTATTTGTTTTCTGAAATAATTTTCACGTGAAATTATAATTGGTAATTGTTACCAAGTACACTTGTCTGTACCGTAAATATTGTTGTATACATACATACGTACTATAACGGTTTTCATGCGTGTGTCGCATCGTGTAGAATGAACATCTATTATAGATTCAAGTATGCATAATATCTGCATATATTCAATTACGCATAATCGATAATCCAAATCAACATGTCGAACTATGAGTAATTAAGCATCGCTGCAAATACAACGCGTGCTAATTATGGTTGCCGTTGACTGCCACTGAATCAAGAGTTCATCTTTTATCATAAACTATAGCATGTACTCAGATTACCTTAAACCAATGATTCGCTAATTGTACGCATCTACATCTCGAAATAATAGTTATTAATAAACTGTGGATCTTATGGATTTATAACAAAAACGTACAGCTAAGATACAAAAACGTGTAGACATTAAGACAATTTAAAAAATATTGTTACAGTATCTACGACTTATTAAAATTATTCAAGAAGAAAACATACTTTTATTTTTCAGAAAGATTATCCATTCAATTACTGTCTATACTGCTACAAACGTTCTCCACAAACGAATCAAACATTATTGTACGAATCTACATCTCGAAATAATAGTTATTAATAGACTGTGGATCTTACGGATTTATAACAAAAACGTACAGCTAAGATACAAAAACGTGTAGACAATGAAAAAAAATAATTTAAAAATATTATTACACTATCTACGACTTATTAGAATCATTCAAGAAGAAAACATACTTTTATTTTTCAGAAAGATTATCCATTCAATTACTGTCTATACTGCTACAAACGTTCTCCACAAACGAATCAAACATTATTGTACGAATCTACATCTCGAAATAATAGTTATTAATAGACTGTGGATCTTACGGATTTATAACAAAAACGTACAGCTAAGATACCAAAACGTGTAGACATTAAAACAATTTAAAAAATATTGTTACAGTATCTACGACTTATTAAAATCATTCAAGAAGAAAACATATTGTTATTTTTCAGAGAGATTATCCATTCAATTACCGTATATACTGTTACAAACGTTCGAATCAAACATTATTGCAACAGGAACGACTATCGAAACCTTCGATAACAATTCACGACGAAAGAGTTCGTATCTGCTTACCATAGGTCAGTGTCAATCTGTTTGAAAGACTATTGTTTGCCGAGCGTGTTAGCGCGTTTCCAATCCGGTATCAACAATGCGATAGGAGGCGAGTTGTGCAACGGACACATCGTTACGGTAAACGAATGAAAAAACATCGAAAGCGCGGAGAATGTTAATTAAAACGTTTTACGATGCAAGTCGTTTGATTGACAGCCGGCAAAGGTCGACGATTCTTCCGCGGCCGATGCAGTTCGGCCGCGTTTTATTTGTAACGAATATCCGCCGGTAATTCGAGCTCTCCGCAGTTCAAAAATAATTCGAGGCGCGTCGAATCGAAACGAGAAACGCATTCCGTTATACAGCGAATGGTTAATTAGTCGGCGATGTATGTGTTCGCGGCGTTACGTCCGTGTCGCGTGTACACGCAACCAACCCCGGCGCACAAAATCGGCACACTCTACCTCTCTCGCGAACTCTTCTTTTTGCCCGCAAACACTCGTCGACTCGCGTAAATATTGATGCTAACCTCTACCAAGAATTTACATAATTCCCAACGGTTTCGAAGAACAGCTGGTATTTAACGTTTATTTTTAGATACCACCGAAAGGCGCTACGTGCTTCGCGATCTAGTGGAAGAACAACTAGGAGGGAAGTTCATTGTCGGTTACCAAAATATCGAAAATGGCACCGCCGGCCACACCGGAGTTATTAAAGTTTCCATCAACTTTACAGATATTTTCGAAAGTTTAATGGAAGAACTAACTCGGTGGGAACATGGGAGCCGTTTCTGACGGCTGTTTGAATAGAGCGTTATGTGAATGGAGCATCTGGTTGCAAGACGCGGAGGTTTCTACATTCTATGACAGAAAGATAGCATGCTATTATGGATTATTGTAGTCTTTAATCTTTGAAATAACATTGTTATTGGTTTTGGGGATTTTTAATGTCTAATGAGAATGCTAAATTATTGCAATGTATTAATAATGTTTTATTGCTATTATGGATAATATATTCTTACACCTTTGAAGTAACATATTGTATCTTTAATCTTTGAAGTAACATTGTTATTGGTTTTGGGGATTTTTAATGTCTAATGAGAATGCTAAATTATTGCAATGAATTAATAATGTTTTATTGCTATTATGGATAATATATTCTTACACCTTTGAAGTAACATATTGTATCTTTAATCTTTGAAGTAACATTGTTATTGGTTTTGGGGATTTTTAATGTCTAATGAGAATGCTAAATTATTGCAATGTATTAATAATGTTTTATTGCTATTCTGAATAATATATTCTTACACCTTTCAAGTAACATATTGTATTCACGTTTCGACGTTCATAGGGTACAATGAGAACAATAAATTGCTTCAATATATTTATGCAGATTCATTTAGATGAAAATATTTAATTATACAATATTCATGAAAAACGAAATATTAGAAGAAAGCATAAACTTTTTCAAATAATAAAAAATTAAGAATACCTAAAAGATATGATTTCAGTACTTTGTAGCTTCACCTATTTGAATTCTGCAATTGCCAATAAATGTTTAGGTATATATAATTTCAATCATGTTTAAATAAATTTTCTGCTTAACGTTATCCGGTTTTGTTCGACGCCACCTTTAAATTCCTGAACAGTATGGAATCATCTCCCTCATCAGTAATTTTTGATGATGTTTAAGTTTGGCGACCTGACTCCAAAATCTGAATATTTTACTGCCTAAAATATCCTTTAACGAACTATGCAGTGTAAACCTTGCACGACCAAACTTCAGCCACCGTCACAACTCCTCCGTCATTTGTATGTATCTGTAATTATAGACGAATTAAAGTCTGACGAATTAAGACGAATTAAGTCCCTTACACAAAGCATAGAAACGATAACCATAACCATCGATTTCGTCTAATATAAATCTCTTCTGATCACTAAAAATAATCGTCCACCATTTCACTCTCCAATCAATACGTTCCTCGGCAAATTCTAAAAAAGCTGCTTTGTGTAACTCTCTTAGAGGTATTTTAATATTTACTGCCGCTTCCGCTACGTTTTCTCTCAAGGTAACAGGTAAATTTGAATCGTAATTATTCAAATTGCACGTTGCTGATGACCGGTTGTCACTTTTAGAAGACGCGCACTCTTCTATTATCTACAATTCTTAAGGAATTGTAGATCATTTCGCGACCATTCAACGGTTCATTCAACCATTCTTCCAACAGAACAACTTCTTTCACCTAAATTTTTATCTATTACCATTTTACTGTTACTGTTATATGACCCTCATACGATAAATAATTCTAATAATAACGATAACATCGCACTAAAATCTACATACATTCTTACCTCTACTGTAAAACTAGCTTAAAAAAAAAAAGAAGCGTCTACCCTAAGCACTAATTACCTTAGTCGAATAGTCCCAACTAACAAGCATCAAATGAATAAAATCACTTTTAAATAACTGAAAAAAAGCAATTAAATTACATCTGGAAGTCCACGAAGTATGTAGAATATTCTACGTTCGCTTAAAACGTAAAAGGTTCGTGATGCTCCAAATATTGTCAAATATCCTGCAAAGTAGCAAATTAGTAGATAAGACATTTCAACTAACGCTCGCCGCCTATGTGCTGCGAATAAGTAAAATTAAATATCACACGGCACGGGAACCGTTGTGATTCGACCATGAAAATTAACAAAACAAGCAAGCGGTGCGATCGTTTTGCGGCGGAGTGTACACCCTCGTTTCGAAAGCAACGTTAATACCTTTCCCAGAAACATTTCGCCGATCTCGCGGCGCGATGCAATCGACGTCGCAAGAAACGCCGGAGAAAATGATCGAAGCGTACCTGTTCGTAGAACACCGTGTGATCCATCAAGCACAGTCATGTGTGATAGAAAACAGCCGGGGGAGACGTTGCACATGCCGCCGTACACAGGAAACGCGGAAAAAAAGTAGCGTGTACGGGTTCGTGCGGGTCGAGATAATCGCGAGGTATCGACCCGATCGAGAAATCGCCGGTTGGAGCGGCGTCGCGTTGTCGCTGGATTTAGATCCGATAAAGGAATCGCTAGATTTAATTCCAACGAAAGGATATCGTTCGATGTAGGATCGCGGGACGATGTAACTTGGATGACAAAATCGCGTGAGGCAGTGAACTTCGTAGACTATTTCGAGACGGCTGGCAGAAGGAGCCAGAGAGAAACGAGGCGAAACGAGGCGAAGAAAGCCAAGCGAACCAGTTGACCGCGTAGGACAGCTCTACGTGACATACGAGAAATGACACGGAAAGAACAGACGAGCCCTGTGACACGTTCGCGGATGCGTCCGCGAGAGCGCGTACCCCGCCGCCTCGATCATTACTCGCGTTAAGGATAAGATTCATCGACTTACGTCAACAGCGAGCACCGCTCTCTCGATCGATACACGCCGATATCTCTCTCCCTTGCTCCCGAGCACTGTGGTGGTCGGCTGGTCCCTTTGTTCCCGGCTCGCTTATCGTCCCGGCGAATTCACCATAAGCACCAAACAGAACTGAACAACGGACAATGCCAACCACGGTAACGTAAAAACTGTCCTCTCTTTTGTCACGAATACTTTCTCTCTCTCTGTCTCTCTTCGACGGCTCGAGGGCGAAGAGGACGAGGAGAGAACTCTGCTGGGGTGAGTGCGCAGAGAAGGAAAACAAGGAAAAACGTTGAACACAAACACACGCGGATGATTCCGGCACAGCTGGTGGCTCGTGCGCGGTATGCGCTCCTCTCTCCGTGTCGACCACTCGAAACTCGCTGCTGCTGCTGCTGCAGCTACTGCTGCTACTTCAAGGGCAAGGCTAGCCCTCGTCGTCGTTGTCGATCGAACGCGGCATGGCTCGCATCGCGATTCGAACGCACCGGTCTCCGGGAACAAGTGCAACCCGGCGGAATCCACGAGACAAGTTTCCCGAGAGAAATAAACGAACCCAGCGGATCGGCGGCTTTTGTTCCGCGGCGACGGGAGGGGACACCGAGATCGTCACAAACCGACTCCCTCGATGGACGCGACGATACTGAGGCGCCGGCGTGTTTATTCCCCCCACCGCGGTGCCCCCACCATCGACCACTTCCCCTCCTCGAGCCAGCGCTAACCATGCTGGATTCTACCCCCACCAACGAGCCTCGTCCTCCCTCGCTCGCGCCCCCTACTATTCGACTCTTTCCTACTTCAGCCAGGACCTCGAAGACTCCCAGCTGGTTTTCTCTTGGATTTCGACGAATAGTTTAGGTATCTGGCTTTTACTTCAACCCTTCTGCCGGTTATGTCGAGAGTACGTGACTTTTCCTTGGTTAATCCTCGTATCTATTCTCAGCGGTACCCATGCGAGAATCAGGTTAGCTGTCATCCGAGTGTCAAGTGTGTCTTGTATTTTATATTTCATCGATGTTTCCGATTTCGACTCTCAGATTAGGATAGCAAGTCTGCCGATTCGATTAATGTTGGTTATCGTTGATTAATCTAAACTGCAGAAGGTTAAATTATTAGATACGATACACTTTCAAGCATTATTTTTTGATCTACGCGTCCACGTATAAAGCGTTTAGAAATTCAGTATAAATTTATAAATCCAGCTTTACCTTTTCACTTATCTTCGGATACCTGGATTTCCGTTACTTTATTATGTCACGTCATGTCCGCGTCAATTGTTATAACATTTCTTTTTCCTTTTGTTTCTATTATTTGCACTTTGTTTAATTGTTGTTGTATAACAAAGGGTTCGTCCCTTTAAACGAGTAAATATTATTATTACTACCTTTATGCTTTGTTTTGAAGAACTTGAAGATAGCTGTGAACAATTTCACGTTGTCCAAATCACTGTCAGGACGAATATATAGAATGAAATCGGTAATTGGATATCGTTCTCAAAGGATTAAAGTCAAAAGATGCTTACGAAATTAACCATGGTGGTTTTTGGATGTACCGTGTGGGTGAACCTAGCATTAGAGAGGCTAATTGCGTCTCTCTTGTTGCCAAGCTTTGCATTTATTACCACAGTAAAATTCAGGTAAAATAGTAGCTTATCTTAGAGTATTTTAGGGCAAACAAAAAAAAACATACTTTACTATGTACAGAGAGATATTCAAATACAAATGCCCAAAATATTGACCATACTTTTATGTTTTATTTTGAATGATTTTCCAGGTTGTGTAGAGGATTATGTATCAGGGATCAATATGAATAGCGACGTCCACTATCGTCTGCCACCGGCATTTGCCCGTTAGCTGTAAACACGACACCAACGTGGTGCCACCGGCATCTGTCTGTCATCTTGTAACCGACACCAATGTGCTGCCACCGAATGGTAAAGTATTCGTATTTAATTAACAGTTGCCGTTTCAAATATTGTTATATCATTGATAAACTCGCTGTTCTCTATAAAATAATGTAAACGAAAATAATTTGACTCCTTTTTAATCCTCGGACAGCGGATACAGGGTCATATATGATCCAGTAGTAAAATTGTTTCATAATGTAAACCGCATTTTCTCATGGTATTAAGTAGTTATATTGTTTAAACCGTATAAAATAAAAATCGAAGACATATTTCTAGAGCAGACAAATGTCTGATTTTCGAATCAGTTGCGACACAGGTAATGTTTCTCGTTGATAAAACTGATAGACTATTATTATTGATTATTATTGATTATTATTGATTATTATTGATAGATAGGTCAACAATTACACGGCGTCCAGTGTCGTGGAGTTAGCAAGTTACGAAGAACAATTAAATAAAAGCAATTTATGAAGAGAATTTATTAAGAACAGGAACGATGAAATTAATTAAAAACATAACAGAAAATTTGTCGCACATTCACCTCTCTTCCAAATAACACAGGCTGTCCAAAAATCCCCTTTATTCCCTCCGCCGAAACAAGCTCGGTTAAAGGGAACTCATGAAATTATACATTCCGAAAAACAGAGCTACATCAGCTGGCGTGCGAGCAAAAAACACGTACGCGAAATGTCAATTTCTGTAGCGTCATTCGCCGGAGCGCAAAATTAAAATGTCCAAATATTTGAGTTACACAGCGGCCGGTGTGTTAATGAATGGCAGGCAAACAAGCAAATTCGGCCGAAAAACTTCATGAAGATTGAAGGCGGGCAGGGTTCACCCCGTCAGCTGTCGTACGGGTGTTCCGCTTCAAAACTCGACTCTCTCTCTCCCTCTCTCTCTCTCTCTCTCTCTCTCTCTCTCTCTCTCTCTTAGTCTCCTCTCTCGGTTCCTCTCCCTTTCTCTACTTCTCGCGCATCCCTGCCTCACCGACGGCATCGTCCTTGTCCCCAAGACTCCCCTTGCTCTCCCTCCTGCGTCGTTTCACGTCGGACCGTTCCATTCTTCCTCGGCTGAATTGGAAGCGTAAACTAGGTCGTTACGTCCGCGAACGTCACCTCGTGTTTTGGTTACTGGTTCGCGAGCCTTTTTCGCGCACTTCCCGGGAGAACGATCGACGTGGACTCTATCGTAAAGACTGATAAGAACATCGTCGAACCCGTTGAACCTCGTTGGAAGACAACGAGGTCTTCATAGATGATCAAACCGTTTTACAATCATTAAAGGCGTCCTCTAAACATACGGACATTGTGGGAGAAGTAAGGAAGATCGTTCATTAATTAATCAGAACGTTAACTGTTAACAGCGTTAGTTATAAATAATTGTAATTCGAGGCATCAAGGCACGATTTTCGTTGATAGTTTCTTTACTCCTCAAGTTAATACGGTTTTTGATACACAATATAAATTAGAACTTTCGACAAGCAACAGACAAATTCAAACAGGTTTTTCGCTCCTAGTTCATCAGTTCGCAAATTATGTTCACTACCTTTTACGATTAAATTCACCTTGTCCAAATTAAATTCGCCTTTTTCCAATCTACCCTTTCGTAACTCAAATTCGCCTTTATCCAATCGCGCTCGCTCTTTTGTAACTGAAACTCGCGATTTCCAATCAAATTCACCTTGCCCAAATTAAATTCGCCTGTTCGCGATCAAACTCGCCCTTTCGTAACTCAAATTCGCCGTTTTCCAATCAAATAGATCCTTTCGCGAATCAAATTCGCCTCTTCGCGAATGAAATATACGCTTCTACAGATGAAATTCACCCTTTTACGAATCAAGTTCTTCTACTTTGTTCCTTTCTATTGTAACAAAAATAAAGTTCGTTCGTTCTCGGCTCAGATAAAAAAAAAGTTAAGTTTGATTTTCTCGTTTGTATTGTCATTTCAACTACAATTTAGTAAACTGGTCCCTGAAACATCTTCGATCAATTCAAGTCAATGGAACGTTTTCGTGGACCACCGCGTGTATATATATCACTTGTTACCTCAAACTTTAGACAGTCTGAAATCATTTCAACGTAGCTTCTCGGTAGCATCGCAAACCAGTAAAACGAGATCGTCGACCGCCACAAAATTCAGGAAACGAATCGGGATATTCTGGGAAGGCAAGAAACCCGTTGAACTCGAGGACGCTGCCGGAAACTTGGCCGGACAATGCGGATCCTTGGTCAACGAAAACCTGACGACGGATTAGCCGCTGAAATCCCCCCAAGTCGAATGGCGAAGTCCGCGACAAAGATCCCCGGGAGCCTTGCGAGACTCGGCGCAACACCGTGCAACCATCGAGATCGATGCAAATGTGGGCTACGGAAAAGGANAAACTCGACTCTCTCTCCCTCTCTCTCTCTCTCTCTCTCTCTCTCTCTCTCTCTCTCTTAGTCTCCTCTCTCGGTTCCTCTCCCTTTCTCTACTTCTCGCGCATCCCTGCCTCACCGACGGCATCGTCCTTGTCCCCAAGACTCCCCTTGCTCTCCCTCCTGCGTCGTTTCACGTCGGACCGTTCCATTCTTCCTCGGCTGAATTGGAAGCGTAAACTAGGTCGTTACGTCCGCGAACGTCACCTCGTGTTTTGGTTACTGGTTCGCGAGCCTTTTTCGCGCACTTCCCGGGAGAACGATCGACGTGGACTCTATCGTAAAGACTGATAAGAACATCGTCGAACCCGTTGAACCTCGTTGGAAGACAACGAGGTCTTCATAGATGATCAAACCGTTTTACAATCATTAAAGGCGTCCTCTAAACATACGGACATTGTGGGAGAAGTAAGGAAGATCGTTCATTAATTAATCAGAACGTTAACTGTTAACAGCGTTAGTTATAAATAATTGTAATTCGAGGCATCAAGGCACGATTTTCGTTGATAGTTTCTTTACTCCTCAAGTTAATACGGTTTTTGATACACAATATAAATTAGAACTTTCGACAAGCAACAGACAAATTCAAACAGGTTTTTCGCTCCTAGTTCATCAGTTCGCAAATTATGTTCACTACCTTTTACGATTAAATTCACCTTGTCCAAATTAAATTCGCCTTTTTCCAATCTACCCTTTCGTAACTCAAATTCGCCTTTATCCAATCGCGCTCGCTCTTTTGTAACTGAAACTCGCGATTTCCAATCAAATTCACCTTGCCCAAATTAAATTCGCCTGTTCGCGATCAAACTCGCCCTTTCGTAACTCAAATTCGCCGTTTTCCAATCAAATAGATCCTTTCGCGAATCAAATTCGCCTCTTCGCGAATGAAATATACGCTTCTACAGATGAAATTCACCCTTTTACGAATCAAGTTCTTCTACTTTGTTCCTTTCTATTGTAACAAAAATAAAGTTCGTTCGTTCTCGGCTCAGATAAAAAAAAAGTTAAGTTTGATTTTCTCGTTTGTATTGTCATTTCAACTACAATTTAGTAAACTGGTCCCTGAAACATCTTCGATCAATTCAAGTCAATGGAACGTTTTCGTGGACCACCGCGTGTATATATATCACTTGTTACCTCAAACTTTAGACAGTCTGAAATCATTTCAACGTAGCTTCTCGGTAGCATCGCAAACCAGTAAAACGAGATCGTCGACCGCCACAAAATTCAGGAAACGAATCGGGATATTCTGGGAAGGCAAGAAACCCGTTGAACTCGAGGACGCTGCCGGAAACTTGGCCGGACAATGCGGATCCTTGGTCAACGAAAACCTGACGACGGATTAGCCGCTGAAATCCCCCCAAGTCGAATGGCGAAGTCCGCGACAAAGATCCCCGGGAGCCTTGCGAGACTCGGCGCAACACCGTGCAACCATCGAGATCGATGCAAATGTGGGCTACGGAAAAGGAGCTACAAAACTGCGATGTGTGTTGCTGGACCACCGTTCGGATTATTTTCTTTTTCCGGCTGTTCCGGTGGCCGACGGACATGGAACATTGTGGCGCGGTTTTATCGATTCTTTAAACCACGTCTCGGTCTTCGTTACGTACCAGCTCTGCTCCCTGAGCACCTCTCTCAGAGGACTAGCCTTCGGGATCCTTCGATCGAGTTAAGCGGCCGGCTAATTTTACGTAATACGGTGGAACCTCGATTATCCGGACCTCTGATGTCATTTGCTATTACTTAAAGCACGTTTTATATGTGAAAAAAAGACTTTTAAAAAATGTATATGCAGGTACATTTCTTTTTATCTGAACCCGAACCTTAATCCAGCTTTACAAGCCATAAAATGCTTTTTATCGTAATAATCGTCGAGGATTTAAGTTAGTTTCGTACCTAAATGAGTGTTTCGTTATTCGAACGTGCATATTGTTTTGATTCGTTTGAATAATCCGGGTGCTACTGTATGTTAGGTTGTTTATTTCGTTTCTAGAAGCTTGTTATTTTCCTATGCTGATAGTAAATGACTCGATAAATCCTCTTGGAATAAATATGTGAAAGGAAAATTGATTATCACGTTAGTTATTAGCGTCAATAAATTTCATAGTTATATTTAAATAGAGGCAAATGTACATACTTTGCAGCATAATACATTTTAATATATTGTATCAAGAACTGCAACACTGTAAATAATTTTCTTTTCATTTCATAGCGATATTTATTTAAATATAAATATGATTTTAAAAGGTCTAAACAAGAATCTAGATTTCACAGCTATATTTAAATAAATATAACAAATCTAAATATAGATCTAAATAAAATCATTCATTGTGTTGCAGTTCTTGTGACAGTATTTGACAGAATGTATTAACACGTATTAGATAATAACGTGCATACATTTGTCACGTCTTTTTTTAGAGACGAGCTTGTATTACAACATTAACGCTATATAAATTTCATTTCAAAGTTGTTGAGATTATAAAAACTCTTTCATAAAAAAATAATTGAATCAATATTTGAACGCAAGCATTACATCTGATAAAAATGGTGAAAACTCTGAGTAAATTGCCGAGTAAAAAGTGCTCGATAAGTTTAATATTAAATACAACGTAT